TCACTTTGAGAGTGATCGATTTAAGGTAAATGTCATTCTGATTCATGCTCCCTTAATATTTGTAACTCCTGTGGGTTAATGATTTTTCCCTTTGCAGAATCGATCTAAACAAAACAAAATTAACAAGGGTAAGCAACAGTATGCTCATACCACTGGAGCTAAATCTCATGATCAAAGAATGTATGAGATGGTAAGTTTTCTCATTCAACAATGCAAAAATTGATAGTTATTTAGGGTGAGTGTAGCTAGGCTGCAGAACTAGTGAATTAGAGAATAAGATTGGTTGGTTTGTGTTTGGTTATGTACAACCTTCTTTCTTTCACCTTCCTGCAAATGTATTATCAAACTTGATCTAGGAGAAGAAGAAGCAGTCGACTGAGCAACCAAACATGGAGGCTAGAGATGAGCAAGTTGATGAAATGGAGGAGGAGCCCAAAGATATTAGACTCTATGCAAATACCCATAAGAGAAATGATGGAAGTTGGGTGAGCGAGGAACCTAAGAAAAACTATGTAAGCATTTCATATCATTTGAAAAAAAAAGTTCACTTTATTTCTAGTTTGAGGTACTACCAAGCCACTTACCTAGATAAAAACATGTTGTGTATATAGGAGGAGATGATAGCCATTCATACCCAAGCAAAAGAAGATGGGAAGTCCTTATCTGGTCGTGAGATTGTTGAGATGGTGTTGAAGAAAAAGGTCAAGTATGGACCAAAGGAAACAGTTCGTTCGACAAGAGAGATACAACTGGAAGCAGAATTGCAAGAGGAAAGAGCTGAATCTGAGAGAAGAACAAAGGAATTTGAGGCCAAGATACAATCCCAAGAGGAGAAGATACAAATTCAGGATGAGAAAATACAACTTCAGGAGGAGAAGTTACAAATGCAAGGTGCGGAAGTGCAGCAGCTACGAGAATCACAAGAGAAACTTCAGCAGCAGATGGAGTCATTTGCTTCAACACTAAATCGGAAATGACCATGGATTCCTTCAGTCGAAGGTAACTATCTATATTCCTAGTCCATTGTTCTTAAAGGAGCTGAATTTATATATGTCTCGTTCTCAAGTTGAGTTGTGTGTTGGGACAACAACTATTTAGATTAATTGTCACTTGAACATGGATGTGAGTAAGTGACAAACTATATTCTTTTTCATTGTTTTCTTACAGATGTTGAAGATTATTAGGAGCAAGGATTAGATGGCAAGGGAAGATGTTAAAAATTAGAAGTATGAACTTTCCATTTTGTCGTAGGATGTTCTCCTTTATGGTGAACCAACGCTAAACTTGTTCGGAAGCCTTTTTCTGGATTTCGTTGGAAGACTATGTTGAAGTCAAGATGGTACTGAATTGAATGTTTGGATTTGGATTGAAGGATTATTTTTATTTAATGTGATTGGATTCTCTAGTTATGACTATGAACACAGGGTTCAATTCTGTCAATTTGTGTGTGCCATTCATGGTATATTTTGACAACACATTTGTCATAATACAAAACAAAAATGACACAGACATGTTGTCATAATATCCAAATAATATAATCTGACAAAACAAAAGTCGTCATTTATTATGGAATTTATGACAAATTTATCAATTTTCAGAAATTGCAATAATGACTCGTAAACCTTCCATGACAAAAGATGATGGTCGTAATTCTATAGGTATGACAAAGTAAAATTTGTCATAATCCAATAACAGAATGAATATCAATTGTGACAACAGTCGAGTATGACAAAATGTAATTATCATACTTCGCGGTGTTTGTCACATTAAGTTAGATAAAACTTGACATCTCGTGACAAACACCGTTGTAGAATGACAACTTTGTCAGCTTAATACGACAAATCATTTTGTCATATTAGTGACATGTTTATGACAATTTATAAAGGTCACATTATTGGTAGATCTAGTATGACGAACATCTAAAAGTTTTGTCTTGTCACATCAAGTCAACGGCGACGGCGATATTACGACAACGTTAATGACGAATGATATTTGTCACAATGGATATAATATGACAAATTCATAATGTATTGTGACAAAGTCCTTGCGTCATAATAGACCTAATTTGTTGTAGTGAAACTAGGATAGACAAGAGGTCTTGTAATCTTTCAAACACTTTATTATTTCAACCTACGTTTGGGGCTCATGGAGCTCTACTATTTTTTTTCCTAACTATGAGGATGGTCGTAATCAATTAGTCGGTTAACCGTTTAACCATCGGTTATTAATTAGCTAAATTTGACTACCGGGAACCGACCATTTATTATTTAATCGGTTATCGGTGTAACCGTTAAGCACCAGTTCCAGTTCGATTATCGACTACACCGTGAACGGGATAACTGTTTTTACCAGCCCAACCTCCTAGTTTCAACGTAGCTCCTACACCGTATGGTGTTATGCATGATAAATAAATATACTTAACACAATCTATTATATTTCACCAAAGTTTATAATAAGTTACCATCCAATATAAGGGAAATATATTTGGTCCTAAATTTTTTGGAAAATTTGTAAATCATAATAGGTCATGTGTACTCGTTTATTATATGTAAAATTTTAGCTAAAAATGAAAGTGGTACTAAGTGGTTCAGGGTGGTACGAAATCATTTTTCTTGAAATTATGTTCTTGAAACCTCAAATTATATCTTTAAAAGAACAAACTACAAGTTTACTGTTGGGTAGAGTCACTTCCATTGGTGCACTCTCCAAGATTTTTGGCAGGCTTCAGTCCCTTCTCATTCCCTCTGACAGCAGAGACTTTTCTTCCTCAGCTCTCTCTTTTTGCTTTTCTGTCCAACCTTTCCTTGCCTTCCCCTCTCTCTCTCTCTCTCACTCTCTCTCTCTCTCTCTCTCTCTCTCTCTCTCTCTCTCTCGCGCATACCCCTTCTCTTTCACCCACTCTCCTCTCTCTCTTGAAAAGAAGAAAATGGACAGAAAGAAAACCCTCCTGTAACATGAGAAGGAGGAAGAGGAAGGAAGATCTGATCAAGAAGACGACAGGGAAGGAAGGATCTAGCCGGCCCGCATGACGGAGAGACGTGAATGGCGATGGCGGCGACGGGAAGGCCAGCGGCCAGCTACGGTCCCAACTCCCAGCGATGTCGAGGAGTAGAGAAGACATGATTGCTTGTCTGTTGCCCAACAGGATTTCCGATCATAACGAGGGAAGGGGAAAATACAAGGAAGAACCATGGCCTGTCGCCGCCAAAGAGCCATCAACGAAGGGGAAGGAAGTGAGATCTCCAACGGGAACTTTGTCGGCGATTTCACGCCCGAAGACTGAGCTTTGCCAGCGATTGCCATCTATCAACGGACGTGTAAGTGGGGTTTTTTGTGGATTTATTTTCCTTTTCGTTGTTGGTGTGTTTGGCTTTTTCTTTCAATGATTTCTTGCAAATCTGCCTTTTTTGTTTTGGGTTTTCGACTAGGGAAGAGCTGTCGCCGGAGGAGATTTCTAAAGGCAGCTGAGGCGACGAGAACTAATCGCTGCTCTCTAGGTAAGTTCCTTCTTTTTGGGTTTTGGTTTTGTTTGCATTTTGGGGTGCCCTTTGGGCTAAGATCAGGTGACTAAGGGGGGTCCCCTTAGTCACATGGCTAAGTGAATCTCAGCCACTCAACTTCATTAAAATCCAAGGGCTCTTATTAATCCAATCTAAGGAAGGGTAATGTAGTAATTGCATGTTTATTTTCTATTTTTAATTATAAAAGGAGTAAAAAAATAAATCACCGCCGTTTCCATCCCGATGCGCCGCTTCCCTCTCCATCCCGACGCGCCGCCTCCCGTCTCCGGCCAGGGGAACTCCTGGGCAATTCCTGGGGAGGAAAATTCCCTCATACGCCATTATTCCATCTGCTTCCTTCCTCATGCGCCATTAGGATTTTCCAGAGAGAGAGCTGCTCCTCCCGCCGGCGGCTTTTAATTTTGGCCCATGGCCACCGCCACCATTTTTGGTGTGGGAGAGAGAGAGAGAGAGAGAGAGAGAGAGAGAGAGTCAACTTTTCCGGCGACGGCGAAGCAGTTTTCCGGCGACCAGAGACGGTGGTGGATGATTTTCCGGCAACAGTATTGAGTTCGTGATGTTTGTAATGTTTATATTACTATTTTGTATACATTGTAATGTTTGTCATGTTTGTTATTTTGTAATGTTTGTATACTTTTATGTTATGATTTGTATACTTTGTATTCATTTGTTTGTTTGTAATGTTTGTAATGTTTGTTTGCAATGTTTGCAATGTTTGTTATTTTGTAATGTTTGTATACTTTTATGTTATGATTTGTATACTTTGTATTCATTTGTTTGTAATACAAGTTTACCAATCTGTATTGTAAGTAGTGATATTCTGTACGTGTAGTATGCTTTGTACTGTTTGTAATGTTTGTTTGTAATGGTTTGTAATGTTTGTTTGCAATGTTTGTAATGTTTGTTTTTTTTGTAATGTTTGTAATGTTTGTTGGTTTCTTTTGTATTGTTTGAATGTTTGTTATTTTTGTCCACATGTTTGTCATTTTTGTCAACCATGTTTGTAATGTTTTTTGCATCACAAATCAATACATATAAAGTATACAAATTATTAGTACTTACAATACAAAGCGAAACATACTAAGAATACAAGCAAAACATACTAAGAATACAAACTGTCAAAGAAAAACATACTAAGAGTACAAACTGTCAAAGGAAAACATACTAAGAGTACAAACTGTCAAAGAAAAACATACAAACCATACTGTCAAAGAAAAACATACTAAGAGTACAAACTGTCAAAGAAAAACATACTAAGAGTACAAACTGTCAAAGAAAAACATACAAACCATACTGACATTTTGTACAAAAATACTAACAATACAAACTAATGTTACAAAACATACAAACTATACAAATCATTGTTCTTCCTTCAGACGACTCTCTCTCCACCGCTGCCGCCGACGGAGACGGACTGACTTTGCCGCCGACGGAGACGGCCAATGACACAGCGCAAACTCGAAAAAAACACGATCGAGATTACCTTACACGAGAGGGACAAAGCGTGAGAGGGGAAATCGAACAGCGAAGCGAGGCGGAGGCTAGGAGGAGCTGTTGCTGTTCTTGCTGTTGAAGTCGGAGGCGAGGCGGGAGGCGATGGCGGAGTGGTACATCACGTCGTGGTGCGCCGACGTCCCCGAGGTCAGCATCCGGAGTTGCTTGGCCTTCTCGGCGGTGAAGCAGCCCGGGGAGAATCGAGATCTGGCCTACTTCGCATCCAGATCCGGCCGATTCTCGTCCTGATCGGCCGCCGGCTGGCTCGCTGGCGTCGTCCCGACGTAGTCCAGCTCGGAGGACCAGCCGAAGAGCGGGGACCACCATTTCGGCGAGGCGGAGGAGGATGGGGGGAGCTGCCTCCGGCGGTTGTTGAGGTCCGGGCTTCGTCGGGAAGAAATCGTCGGGAAAGGAAGAGAGAATTGGAGAGGGGAAAAAGGAAAAAATAAATAAAATGGAAAACAGGATTTAATTATTTTTTTTAAATGCCAAAACTACCCCTCTGATTAATTATTAACCCTTCCTTCATCTGGACCATTAGATCTACCCATTCTAATCTAAGGGCTGAGGGGAGCTTAGCAATGTGACTAAGCACCCCCCCTTAGTCACCAGATCCGGACTCGTGCCCTTTCTCTCATCTGGTTCTGTTGATTTTTTTTTCATTTCAGGCATAGGAAGAGGAAGAAGAAGTCGGCATCGCCAGTCCTGACCCAGACGACAGCTGCGACATAGTTGGCTGGCCAGACAGAGAAAATTTGTGGGTTATTTTTAAATTTACTAGATATTTGGTGATTCAGTTTGCCCTTGAATGAATTTTGATTTTTAATTCAATATTTGGAAAATAGGAGGCGAATAATCTATTAAGCACTTGGAGCTTTGAAGGTAGATGAATTGAAATCTTAAGCTGTAGTGATACTTTGGAATCTTTTATGGTTGTTCCAATCATTAGAGTAGTTTGCAGAGTTGATTTGTTTTCGAGATGAACAATTGCTTTTGGATGATTTATGAAGTTTGTTTTGGTTCTCTGGATAATTGAGTTTTTAAATCAAATTTAGGTTTTTATTTTTGGAATTAGTTATTATGCGGTTTAGAAATTACTCACCTTTGTGATGCTTAGGTTGTGCTTTGTGGAAGGGCTTCCATGAGAGGAGAAGGTGCATGAGCTCTGTTTGATTGCTTTTCATGAACTCGAAGATGCGACAATTAACTATTTGGGCTAGAATGAAAGGGAGGACTGCTTGAAACAATCTGGGTAGATTCACCTTCATGTCAATCATTTTTATGTATTGCATCTGAGGTTTTTGTGTTTCTGTCGACAGTAATATAGCAGTTATTTCTCCTTGCATGGCCTTACAAGGGTATCAGAGTCAATGTTGGAATTGTGTCTCAATCTGTTGTTTTTATTAAGTTGGTTGGATATAGGAAACTGCAGTTGCTCTGCATTATTCTCATAATTTGTCAAAATGATATCCGCAGTTTCATACACGGTCCTCCTTCAGGTTGATTTCCAGTTCCTTTACTTCATCTTGCAGTGGTTTACATAGTTACTAGAGTTTAGGGTTCTGCTGCCTCTTGACCAAGCATAGCCACAGTCATCTTGGGTAAGAGATGTGAATCGTGGATCTTAACTAGATGGTCTTCTAGCTTCAGTTTGTTGTAGGTTGTGTGTCCTCTCCTCGATCCTTATTTGCCTGCATACGGTTTTGATTCACGCTAAATGATTGTGTTTTTTTCATGTTGTTTGCAGGTAGGCAGTTGAGGAGTTATGGGCTGAACTGTAGTCATCTTACTCTGGATCCAACGTATGAATTGGTGAGATTTCTAGCCTGCAAACAATCTCAATTACTTAGCATTCTATAATTGTATAGAAATAGAAGTTTGATGCATATTCTTGGAATATCAGGGTAGAAGAAAAAGGAACTTCCCGAAATTAAAAATGATCTTTCATGTCAATTGCTCCCCAACCCGCAGTTTCTTTCAGACGATATTGGTGTTTATGTGCTTTCTAACCAATTAATATGTGTATATGCTAAGCTACGACAACATGTATAAGACCAATTTTCTTACTAGGGTTGTGTTATAATAATAGCAGACTGTTGATCAGTTCCCTTTACTTGCAGAATGTTGCTTTCTTTAAATCGCATTGTATGATCTGATCCTTTTTATACTTATAACTTCAGTCTCATGGTAGTTGCCTCCCAGAACCATGATCCGGAGGAGCCATAGGTAAATGAGAAATAGGCTCGGAGATGGCAGTATCATCCAGTGGAGAACAAAATGATAGGAACCTCGAGGAGTTACTAAGAGCAGGTGCATCATTTTTTCCATTTGGTTTCCTTAGTCTTTTTCAGGAGTTCTGGGTTTCATTAATGGTAAGATTCTTTATGAACCATCTCGAGTTGTGGTAAACTACTCATTTGTATTGGTGCTCAAGGATTACCTCTTTATCAGCTTTTTAAACATGGAAGGACCATTCCAGAAAAGAGCTTCTGCATAACATAATGGTAAGTGTTGAACTTCACTGGTTTATTGATTTGTTTGCAGTGCTTTTGTTCTATGTATGCCTCTTTCGACCAGTACTACACTCTGTTGATTCCATCACTCATGAAAAATCCTTTTCCTTTCAGGAAGGAAGAGCATTTGTTGAACAAAGACGGAAAGTGAGCTTCTGTTTTTCCCAGCTGTCACCAAACATGTCACCGTTTCAAGTGGGAAGCGTAGTTGTGGATTCGATAATAAAGACCAGAGCAATGTTGGTCTTCTGTGCTCCTTCCCTATACCTCCCATCCATGAATTTATCTTTGCAGGTCAACACTTGCACTCCTTTTTGCCTCACAGATTCTATGTTGGAATTTATAGATTTTGCTTGCTTAAGTTAGGTCCAGTACTAATGCTCTATCGTTGGTGTCATTTCAAAAAAATAGGGATATGTTCTGCGAGATCGGGTAGGAGCAGTGCAATTGAAGTTTCAAAGCAAAGATATTTTGATTAGTGGATCTATGAATCACTCTTGGAGAAAAGGTACAGCTTGGTGGGATTGATTGTTGTATGAGGGAACTTTCAGCCCATGTATAATTCTGAAGAAACCAATAAAAGGTAACAAACTCTTCCTTTCGTGAACTTACGGTGTTGTTTTATCTACCGGCCTAATACATTATGATCGGTTTGCATTAGAGAATGATAGTGAAAGGGGGTTTCTAGAAAGGAAGAGACACGACGGCACATAAGTTCTCAATGGAGTTGGTTTCCGTACGAGGGAAGGACATCAGGAAGGTGGCAGAGGAAGAAGGAAAAGGGGAAATCGGAACTGGATACGAGGGAGGTAATTTCCGTTTGTGTTAATAGTTTTGTTTAAATTGTAGAAATTAGGTCATGTACTTTATGGGAGATTAGCTTATGTTGATCCGATTGGAGGATGATGTGAGAGGGATTCAAGGGAGCATAAATCAGCGGTTGCGATGGAGGAGAGTTTTTTTCATGTTCCTTTTTTTTTGTAGTTATGATTCTCAGTCCGTTTTCTGCCTACTTTTGGAACTTATTTGTGGTCTTCGGTGTTTCCACATACTCCTATATTCAAAGCTGGCTATGCAACTGCATACTAAAATAGTCCGACATATTAGCCTGCATTGCAGATGTTGACTTGCTATTTCAGATGCATTCAACTCACTGTCTGTGGGATATTTGGCTGGTTTTGTTTTGAATTTCGTTAGCGAGTTCCTTAATGTTTTCGTGTTTCGTCTACCATTTTTTGTGTTTCCTGGATGTAGAAGAAGGAATCTAGCAAGAAAAGGAAAGATTTGTTCAGCTTATTAAGATAGGAAAGGTGCAATTTGTTTGGATTTGTGAGTAAATTTGTTGGTATTCTGAATGAATTCGATGAGTATTTTGAATAAATGTGCATTTTAATGACCAATCTTCCTCAGTTATATCCGTTGTAGAAGTTAAGGTGGATCCACTGGTTCTTGAATTTCTCATGTGTGAGCTCTATATGGTATTGTTCTTAGACAGTATTTCATTCGCCACGAAGTGTTGCTGACGAGGTAGATATCTGAAATGCAGTCATGAGTGACTTGCGGAGAGAGAGAGGGCGAACAATTGTTGTAAGGAATAAATGGAGCATTAGAAGACTAGGTAGAGAAGAAATTCTCGCAAGCAGAGACCACCATTTTTTTGGCTCCTCAGCTTGAGCTTCAAAGTTCTGGTACTTCCTTCTCCCATCATTATTTCTGCCTGTTGTTTCTGTTTTCTAAAATAAATGCAATGAAATGTAGAAGAAGGAAAGAATAATAGTTTTGGCGGTCTGGGGTTGTGGAACTTAGAGTTGTGTTGGAGGTTTGAATTTTTGGTCTCACTCTGAATCAGCTTTAATGGACTATGTTATGTATTGTTTATGTTCAGGCATAATTTTTTTCCTGCTTTCATGTGTTTCATCTGATCCATTAAGGCATGTTCAAAGAGGTGGCGGTTAGGATTCAAAGCAAAGGACCATAAACAAGACATGCCTTCTGTAGACATGATGGTGGGTGCTGAATTTCAACGGTTTTTAGATTCCTTTCCAGTTCTTTTGTGCGTCTATGTCTCTTTCGACCAGTGATTTGTTATTTTTTTTCCTTTCAACATGATATAACCAAACAAGACTTGCGATTCTCATATTGACGACATCTATGTGCCTTAGGAACAAGCTTCCCTTCGGTACTTTTTCTTCCCTTGAATCTCTCATTTTCATAGCTAATATTATGTTATATCAGTTTACACGGTGCATCGCAAATCATGTTTAGTGTTTTAAATAAGAATGAATCCGGGTTTGTGTTGCCTAGGGACTGTAACCTGTGATTACCTTTCGTGTTCATCTTAGAATTCAATTTTTATCTATTACATTGGTGTTTTTTCAGGTATGGTTGGTATTTTAGTTTTTTTGGGATACTCACTGGATAATTGTCAATGCCAACCAGGATACTCATAGAATACAAAAGAACGAGGAGGAGGAGGAGAAGAAGATAACTTTTCCATATCCATTATGCTCCCCCCACCTAAGTTATCTTTGTCTCCGAAACTCGCTCTCATTCTGTCTCTCTCTCTCTCTCCCCTTGAGCTCATTGGTTTTCCCAGTACATAATCGGGCGCAAAAATGCCGGCGACAAGCTGACTTACGGGTGAAGGATAGTCCACCAACTGATTCATTAGATGGTTAGTTTCTACCTCTGTGTTCGTTGTTTGTTTTCTTTTATGTATTTGATTGATTCTTAGATGGTGTTTTTCTTCATGGTTTCATTGGACAGGACTCTAGGAGCATAGCCACGGGTAGGAGGATCAGCAAGTTATGGGTT